AGCCCAGGAGGGGCTGAGGCCGTGGGCTGGAGCAGCTCCAGGGGTGGACAGCGAGGAGCTGGGGGGTCTCGGGGTGCTGGGAGGATTTTGGGACAGCCACCGGGGGCTCCCCAGCACCTGAACCTCCCCCCTCATCCTCCACAGGCTGCAGAGCAGGTGAAGAGCTGGTGAAAATCTCCGAGCTGTACCCCCAGGACAGCCATGCCATGCAAATATCCTTTGCCACGTGTGGCCCCTCGAGGCTGTGGAGGGGCAGGGGGATGAGGGCACAGCTGGGAACCTGGTGGGGCTTTGCCACTGCCAGAGCTGCTCAGCAGAGCTGGAGCACCCAGGCTGTGAACCCCAGGGGTGCCCACCGGGAGCAGGTCTCCCACTATATTCCTGTTTTATTCCTGTTCTATTACTGTTTTATTCCTGTTCTATTCCTGTTTTATTCCTGTTCTATTCCTATTTTATTCCTGTTCTACTCCTGGTTTATTCCTTCACGGGCCCTGCAGAGGTTCCAGGTGGAGGAGAAGGTGCTGGACAGGCTGAAGATCACCTTTGAGAACAGCACAGACTTCTTTGGCAGGATCGTGGTCTATCACCTGGGGGTGCTGGGGGAGAGGCTGTAGGACACTGGGGGGGCTGCCCCCACCCCTGGGGGGCTCTGAAAACCTGCCCCAGCTGCCCCCCAAGGAACCCCCATCCCCAGGGATGGCAGTGATGGAGGGACACTGCCAAGGGATCCCCGTGGGATCCTCTGGGTGGGACTCGGGTGTGCAACCAGATGAATAAAGGGTGTCCCTGCTCCCTCCTGGCTGCTCCTTGGGAAGTGGCCCCCCAGGACTGAGCCCTCGGGGGTTTGGCTTGAGCAGGAGGGAGGAGGAGTGTCCCCTCAGGAGTGTCCCCTCAGGAGTGTCTGTCACCTTTGCTGGCCGCCCCTGAACTCCTTGGGGTGGCTCCTCCTGCCCGGGATGGCAGCGTGCCAGGGCTGTGCCACATTCCCACATCCCTGGCTGCCAGGGCAATGCTTCCTGCAGGATTTTCCTCCTTCCTATGCCCTGCTTCCCTGGCTGGGTGCAGGGGAGGCTTGGCAGGTTTATGGGAGGGGATACCAGGGTGTCGGGGCCAGTTCCCTCCCCCGTGGTTCCCCAGTAAGTGGGACTGGGAGGGAACAGGGGCTGTGACAGGCCAAGGCAATGCACAGGGCTCCACAGGGCTGCTTTAGGGTTTAATTCCAAAAATGTGATCCTGGAATACACAGAGCAGCTGAGCCTGGGATGGGGCAGAAACGCAGCTGCCCCGAGGAATGAATGTCCCTGGGTGTGAGCACCGGGGCTGTGCCACCCCTGGGAGAGCTGTGGATCCATGGAGGGCAGGGATTCCTGGGTTCCTCTGTGTGCCCTTTGCCTGCAGCATCGTGCCATGGCCCGTTTCCTGGTCCCAGAGCAGAGCTGGGGCTGCAGCCCCGTGTCACTCCAGCCCCGTGTCACTCCAGCCCCTTGTTCTGGAACAGCTTCAGGATGTGGTTCTCGATGACCTGTTGGACTAAGGGAGGGAGAGAGGTGGCACCTGGGGAAGCCAAGCCTGTGAGGAGCCACTGCTGCTGTGGGAAGGAGCTGGTCACCCTTGTGCTCCCGTTTCCTGATGGAAAACCCCCTTCTCCAGGGGCCTGTCCCCCCCTCCCCAGTCCCAGCCCTATCCCCAGGGTTGGGAAGCGGAGCCCGAGGAGGATCCGATTTCCCTGGATTGATGTCTCTGCGTGGCAGGGCTGCAGGGGGAGGTCAAAGCAAGCCCCAGGCAGCACTGGAAGCTGGGAATCACCTGGAGGTTTTCCAGGGAGGGAAGGGGAGGGGACACCTGCCTTTCTTGTGGCCCAGGGCCACGGCCAGATCCATGGGGGTGTAGCCGGAATCCGCCTCCTCCGTCAGGTCAGCGCCGTGAGCTGCAGAGCAGGGCAGGGGGGGTGAGGGGACCCCCAAAAGCTGCCCCTGCACCCCCCCCAGGGGCGTGTCCCTCTCTTCCCGAGGCGGGGGAGCAGCAGTTCCAGGCTCAGGGGTTCCCCTTACCCAGCAGGGCCTCCACACACTTGACGTGGTTCCCGCGCACGGCGTAGAGCAGGGGGGTGCCACCGTTCTGGGGACAGGGGGGACAGGGGGGACAGGGACGGTCACTGCCAGGCTCCCACAGCTCCTGCTCCTCCCAGACAGGGAGGCCCCGACCTGCTGGGATCCCCCTTCCACCCCCTGCCAACCTCCAGGCTGGGATCCCCCTCCTGCCCTTCTTCCCAGCTTCCCAGGCTGGGACCCGCCGGGATCCCTCTTACACCTTCCCCCAGTTCTGGGTTGGGAACCACTGGGATCCCCCTCTCACCCTCTCCCACCTCCAGCTGGGACCCACTGGGATTGCCCTTCTGCCCTCTCCCAGCTCTGGGTGGGATCCCCCTTCCACCCTCTCCCACTGCAATCCCCTTTCCATCCTCTCCCAGCTCCAGGCTGGGATTCACAGGGATCCCCCTTCCACCCTCTCCCAGCTCCCTGCTGCTCTTCCCTCCCAGAGCAGCTCCCTGCAGGTTTTATTCTTCCCTGTGTGACACAATAACTTTCAAAATGAGTCACTGTTAAAAACCACCCCAACCTCTGCTCGTGGGGGGTTTCCTCCTGGAAAAAAAAAACCCATTTAAAAACGATTATCCTGGTTAATTTATGGGAACAACCACAGGAGCAAGGCTGGGAGCCTGGGAAGCACCAGCCTGGAAGGATGGGAAACGAGCTTTGTGGAGGCCTGTCCTGGTGGCCCTGGTGGCCCTGGTGGCCTTGGTGGCCCTGGTGGCACTCACCCAGTCGTAGATGTTGATGTCCACGTTCCTCTCCAGCAGCAGGGTGACAATGTCCGTGTATCCCCCCATGCTGGCCAGGGACAGGGCACTCTCCCTCTCCTTGGCCAGGGCGTGGGGATCAGCCCCCTGGGAATGACACCAGGGTTGGTCCTGGCAGGTGGCAGAGCCCTGGGACACCCTGGGGGGCTCATCCCGGAGCCAGGTCCCCACAGGGCACGGGGTTCACACCTTCCCAGCCAACCAAAAACCCCTCCTGGCCAAAATCCTTGCTGGGCGTGTTTTAATCATCACCAAGCATCTCATGTGAGGCCTAAAAAGCCCTTCTCCAGTGTCCTGATGGATCCTGTCACTCAGCATCACCAGGAGCAGCATCCCTGGCCTGTCTGGATGCCTGCACAGTATCCAGGGTCTTTTTTGCACTGATTCCCATGGAAAACCTCCCTGTCCTCCAAGCCCTGCCAGCCCTGGGCCCCTCCTGGCCTTCATCTGGGGACGCATCACCTCATTTAAGGGGGTTCTGTTTGTCCCTCTGTCCTGCTGCTGACTCAGGAGCAGAGCTTGGTCGGTGCTTCCCAGAGCTGTGGGTGCTTCCCAGCCCTTGGATCCACAGGGATGTGGGAGCAGCCCCTTCCAGAGGGCGGGATGTGATCCCTGCTCCTTCCACCACACCTCACTGAGCACATTTGCTGGCAGATCAGAGGGCCCCAGTGATAAACCCGACCCCAAATGAGCAGTGAGCAGAGATTTAATTACAGATTGGAGGGCCCCGGTGATAAACCCGATCCCAAATGAGCAGTGAGCAGAGATTTAATTACAAACAGCCCCTCCTGGCTGGGGGATGAGGCTCTGAGTGCTCCTGGCCGAGCTCACGGCCCGAGGGGCACCCGGCAGCTCCTGCTGGATGCCGAGGGAAAGCCTGGCTGAGGAGGCACCAGGACGGTGCTGGACAGTTTGGGAGCCACTGGGATTGGGGGTGGGAAGCTCCCTGTTATCCAGGGGCTGCCTGGATGAGGCCTTACCCACTCCAGCAGGTGCCGGACCGTCTCGATCTCCCCGAAGGCGGCGGCCCAGATGAGGGGGGTGAAGCCTCTCTCGTCGGGTTTGTTCACCAGGTTCTCACCTGCACAGACACGGGGGGACACTGGTGGGAAGGGCAAAGCCCCCTCTGCTCCCTGTCCTGCCAGCAAACCCAGCAGAACCTCCTCAGCTGGCTGGAGTGGAGGATCCTCCAGGTCTTTTCCCACCTTAACGATCCTGTGGCTGGATGAAAACCGAGCTGGGGGTTTGGGAGCCACCAGCCAGGACCTGGCAGGACCTGGGCTGAGGGAGGGAGCCACGTACCTTTCCGAAGGTGCTCCTTCAGCTGGATGAGCTCCCCTTGGGCAGCAAGTTGGTGGATGGACAGTGCTGGGGGAGAGAGGAAGGATTCACCCCCCGGGACAAAACCCTTCCCCAGCTGCAGGTGGGTCCGTGGCCCCAAAAATCCCTCCCTCCTGCCACTCAGTGGTGTGAAGAGCACGACACAGAGGGTCCCCCCCGTGCCCTGCTGTCCCTCTGTCCCCTCCACACCCCCTCTGTGACCCTCTGCCTGGTGGCACTCACTGTCCAGCGTGGCTGGCAGGGCTGAGACCTCGTTGCCTCGTTGCCTGTTGGTCAGAGTGTTCGAGTGCTTCAGGGGGAAACCTGGTCCAGGGAGAGGAGAGAGGGTTCATTCTCTATTTATTTATTCTCTACTCATTTAGCTTTTACACTCTATTTTTTTTATTCTCTACTCATTTAGCTTTTATTCTCTTTTTTTATTCTCTACTCATTTACCTTTTATTCTCTATTTATTTATTCTCTATTCATTTAGCTTTTATTCTCTTTTTTTTTATTCTCTACTCATTTAGGTTTTATTCTCTATTTTTTTTATTCTCCACTCATTCAGGTTTCATCCTCTGCATTTATTCCCCGTGCACAGGGAGGAGCTGCTTCCTGAGAGCTCAGGCCTCACCCGAAGCTGTTCCCTGGCAAAAACCGAGTCCTGCAAAACCAGGGATCAACCCCTTGCAAGTAAAAACTCTGGAGAATGAGGTTTGACAGAGACCAAGAGCTGAGCAGGGAGACAAACCAGCCCCAGGGAGATAAACCAGCCCCAAGAGCTGCCTGAGGAGGGACAGGATCCATCCAGGGGGGAAGCAGGGACCTGGAATTAAGGGCATAAATGCACATGTGCACTCAGGTCCATCCTCCTGTTTCCTGCCCTTGGGAGGCTCCACTCGGAAATCCCAGCGTGTCTTCGAGCAGTTTTTAATCAGGGAAAGCCCGTGGAAGGGCTTTCCCAGCTCCAGTTCCACTGCGTGGAGCTGCAGCGACCTCTCACTGCTGGCAGGAGGCAGCGCCAAGGGCTGGGGCTGGGAATGGCTTTGGGAGGGCCTGGAGCCGGGAATGGCTTTGGGAGGGCCCGGCAGCAGTCAGGGACTGTTCTCCAGCAGATCTGCCGGGCTGGGAGCACCCGGGGAGCTCCCTCTGGCTCTGCAACACTCACCGTCCAGGGCGGGCAGGTCGGCGCTGCTCTGGGCGTCCAGCGAGGGGTTCCTGGGGGTCTCAGCTCCACCTGCAAACCAGGGCGGCTCTCAGGGACCCTGGGGGACCCCACACCCCACGTGTCTGAGCCCAGGGGGGGCTCCAGGACAGCTGGGAGTGGGACAGGATTGCTGGGGTGCCCTGTGCAGGGCCAGGATTTCTGGGGTGCCCTGTGCAGGGTCAGGGGTTGTTGGGGTGTGCTGTGTAGGGCCAGGGTTCTCTGGGGTGCCCTGTGCAGGCACAGGGAATTGTTGGGGTGTCCTGTGCAGAGCCTGGATTTTTGGGGTGCCCTGTGCAGGGTCAGGATTGTTGGGGTGTCCTGTGCAGGGTCAGGATTGTTGGGGTGTCCTGTGCAGAGCCTGGATTTTTGGGGTGCCCTGTGCAGAGCCTGGATTTTTGGGGTGCCCTGTGCAGGGCTAGGATTGTTGGGGTGCCCTGTGCAGAGCCTGGATTGTTGGGGTGTCCTGTGCAGGGACAGGATTGTTGGGGTGCCCTGTGCAGAGCCTGGATTTTTGGGGTGCCCTGTGCAGGGCTAGGATTGTTGGGGTACCCTGTTCCCGCACAGGGGTTGGACTGATGATCCTGATGCATCCCTTCCCACTCAGGACACTCCACGATTCCCAGCCCGGCAGGGACCCCACTGTGCCCACCCCAGGGCAGAGGGCACTTTGATCCCCTGAACCCCGATTTACAGTGGGGGGCAGG